CATAGTTATATTGTGTATGAAAGTTTGGAGATGGTAAAATGAGATTAGTGTTTGGAAAGCTCACTTTGGCCACCACCTTATCCTCTTGTTCCCAGCGTTCGGTCATCTTATCGCGACGCCGTGCAGCCAGCAAGTCGAATTCTGTTTGAGTTGGTAGCACACGCAGAGGTGGCAGGTTGTACTGAATGAACTGTCGAGCCAGTCTCCCGATGGTCTTGCAGAGGCGCGTTGTTGCCTGGTTCACAACTGGGCTCTCAGAATCCTCATCGCAAGTCCTTCCCATTGGGCTGGCCAGTGAATCTATCTCACGACTGAACACCACAATTATGTATTAGTATTGTATATTAATCAAAACGGCCGACTTTAATATTTTTGGCTGAAATTTTTGTTCGCTACCGCTATATTTGGGGGTGCTTGGTGTAATTAAGGTTTAAGAGGGTTGTGGAAATATGAGTAAACTCAGGCCCTAGAGTATGGATGCGATTGTACTTTTCCAGGTAAGACAACTGCTAAATGTATAAATGGATGACAGCTAGAGGACGTATTCCTCAGATAGATACAAGCATAGCATAAAGCAAAGTCCAATAATTTTGCAAAGAAGCCATTAAACTATTTGTCTAGTTTTCTAAAGGTTGTTCCTAGCATGATGTTTGAGAGAGTGCGGATTGAAAGATGTGTTTTAGCTGCATATATCTAAAAACGATGACCTTAGACACTGCATTAGGTGTATCAGAGTTTGAGTTAGAATGATATTGACAAACATTATAGGTAGGTCTGAGTTCCAAAATGTAATTCCAATTTTATACACAAACTAGTGTTCTCAAGTAATATTAATGTTTTTTAAATCTAAAAATAGGTTATTTCAGGTCGTGCTTACGAAACTTTAAGCAGAAAACCTAATGTATAAAGCCTCAAAATAGAGCAAATAACAAAATGATTATTCATTAAATCAGCGAACTATTTAAGCGACGGGGTATATAGCACGTTCAGCTTACCCAAATTTATCAATCTTTTGTAATGCCTCCATCATGTCGAAGCGTAGTGCTTTCGCAGTATCGAGGATAAATTTGCCTTCTCCAGCACTAAAATAAATGTAGATTATCTTTAAACGATCTTATGTTTAATGGCTTGCAAGAACTTGACACTATATATGGAAAAACCGGTAGCTCGTGTTGATTTAGAGATATATCAAATTGATTTATTGAAATATCTAGCAATTTAATTTTTACCTACAAAAATCAGTCACGTGAAATTAGTACCAGTAGAAATAGGTTAGACTGAGGAAGTTTGGATTCATCCGAATTAGAGTTTAATTTCGTGATTTAATGAGTAAAATAAGTATTCGTGCAAATATAGGTTCATGGCCATTGCATGTGGAGCTCACAGATACAAATTCAGTCAAATTTTTTTCTTACGAGTTTTTTATGGATTTCTAATTTGAAAGAAAGTTCCGTTTTGATGTATACAAGCCTCCCATATACAGGAGTATTTTTTATTAGACTGAAGACCAATTAAAAGGTCAAAACAGAATTGTCAGATTTTGCCACTTGGTAATTAGGAAATTTGGAATTATGGAAAGGAGCCCCTCTAGTAGCTCTGAAATCAACGTTACCCATATTTAAATCCCTAAGGCTGAACTTAGTTTAACTACAAAACATACATAATTAAATTTTTACACCAAGCCCTTGATCCCGATAGGGTATGAAGGATATAATATTGGTTCATCGTGCAAATATTGGTTCATGGCCATTGTATGCGGAGCTCACTGATACAAATTCAGTTAAATTTTTACCCAGTCATCATCCTCACCCGAGACCACATTGTATCTCATCCTTTGGGGCCCTCTGTCCGACTTAATTCGGAAAAGCTAGTGAAAATCTACCGCTTCCCTTTTCCACTCAAGAATCGCGTTTCTCAAGTTGACAGTCCCATCAAATCCTAGCCAGCTGTTCGTGTGTACATTGGCTGGCATCCCCCTCTTTTTAGTCA